TAAAGTTTCAGTCTTATTTCTTACTCCGATATCGATATATTTAACACTTATGTAAAAACCTTCTTTTCATAAAAAAAATTTATATGATAAAGCACTTGAAATTTCTCTAACTCAACATTTAAATTTCCTTTTTCAAAATTAATTTACTACTTATCATAATAATTTAAATTTCTCATATATAAATAAATTATTTATTTTTAAAAAAAAAAATATATATTATCTTTCCCCCTCTATTCATATAATAATTTACTTCTAAAGTTCAATCGAAGATTCATAACCTAATAAATGATATCTTAAATTTACTATTACATTTTTTTATTCTAATATATGCCATAATTAATTATTTTTTTATTTTTAAATATGTCAATGATCATTAATCAAATAATCTATTATTTGTATAATTAAAATATCTTATAATTTATAAAGTTTATTCTCTCACAAAAAAATTAACATTTATATTTTATTAAACTCTACTAAAATGACAATTTACCTTGCTCTTACATTTTTTATACCATACATATCTAAGTTAAATTTCCTAATTTATATATATAAATAATACTTCAAATTTCAATTTCTCTAACTCATAATTACAATTTTTTTTCTAGTTCAAATGCATACCTCATTATTCTTCTATTAACTCAAGTCTTCACTCGATCCTATAACATTAGATTGACTGTCTTTAATCGGCAACTTCATTTTGACAAATACAAGCTAACATTTTTAGTCTCCACTTAACTTTTATGATTGCATGACTGAGCCATAGCCCCCACCTATGCTCCCTTTTGATGCTCGTGCTCCCATCTCCTCATCTCTTAGAAATTTAAAGGGACGATACCTTTCATCTTTCTCGCGAATCCAAGAGATGAAACCAACACAGTTGGTTCAACTCTTTGTTCCATCTCCCCCGAAAACAAGCGACGAAATGACTATTGTCTTCTTGCAACCCTCACTATGATCATCTCCCTCGAACCCATTTAACGAGCAATTCTTCGCCTTCCTCATCACTAAGCAACGGCCAACCCTTCACCACCTTCACAACTTTTCATTTCGCCTACTCCACGACTCCAAACGGCAGAATGAATGCTTCTTCGTCTTCGTCTACTTGTTCCTACACAACTCTGGTTAAGGGAACCAACATTCATCAGTTCAGTCATCACATGTTCACTTTTCATTCATTCATTTTTCTAATCTATTTTTTGTCCAAAAGTCTTTCTGAAGTTTGTTCAAAAAAAAATTTAACAATCTCTCTGCATCTCCCCCAAATAAGAGTCATCTATGAAGATTGCTAGACCTTTCAATTATTGTTAAAAAAAAAATACATGGTTGATGTCTAAGACAACACGATATGTGGCCGTCATATCCACTACATTTAAAAAAAGTGCATGGACCTAAAGTTCTTGCATGAAAATGTGCATAATCAGATTTCCCCATGTTTTTAGAACAATGCATACAAGCACTTATTTACAAATTTTACTCCTAGTTAGAGCAACGCATACTAGTATTTATATTTTGCAACTTTTCTTGCTTTTTTACCTCATGCGGACGGGCGTTGATGACATGAGATAACAAGGTTGTAGCAAGATCGAAGACAACATAAATTTCTTTCTTTCCATTTGAATTTTCTCTCTTCTTTGTTTTTTTTTTTTTTTTGCTTTATGCTTTTTTACTTCTCCTTTCTTGACAAAGAGAAAAAAAAAGGAAAAAGAGTGAGAGAAGGAAAAATGACGACATTAAATATGCATCTCTTAAATACCATTACTCTCATGTTTCGGATTAACATATACAGAATTTGGATAGATTTAACTTGAATATGCAATTTTCACGCACTCCTTTCCGTTACACACTGATGGTGTTGTCAATGCCTTGTCTGGGAACACCCATAATGATATCAACATTTCTTTGTCTCAAAGGTTTCCAAGTAGAATGTAGAGAAAAGAGGCAAGCATGGGAGAGGATGAGAGGGTGAGGCTTCGATTAGTTGTTTTTAGCAAGTGAGGGAGGAAGATGAGGGTTTTGGGATTCCTTTAGCACTTGAGGGAAGAAGATAAGGGCTTTGAGCTTTAGGTTGTGAGTGAAGAGGAGAAGAAAGCGAGAGTCGTGGGGTCTCTATCTTGCGGTTCCCAAGAGAAAACGAGAAAGTGATAAGAGAGCGGATGATTTGTTTTCCATGCTTGTGTGAAAAATAGAGAGGACAAGAGCTTGAGTTAGTTGCATAAGGGTAAAAGTAGAGAGGAATGGGATGAGCGGGCTATGACCTATGAAGAATGAGAGTAGTTCACGGGACATGTGATATGATTGTTTTTCTTTCTTTCTTTTTTTTACTGGTCTAAAGTAGAATAAATAGCACATCCAATCAAAATTTTATTCATAGCAAAATTATTTTGAGTTTTGTATATCCTTAAAACCCTTATTAATAATCACAGAGTCACTTTGGAATTGCATATCAACCAATCAAAGCAACCCAAAAATTCTAGAAATCTCAACAGCAAAGGTAGGCAGTAGATATTATAGAAAATTGTTACAGCCAAAACAAAGGCTATCTATGCATATCACAAGGGAGGCCAGTTGTTGAAATCATAAGCCAATTGAATTTAACTCAAAAAAATCACAACAAAAGCTTAAAAATGTGCTCCTAGATAAAATAAAAAAAAAATAAAAAAAAATCGCAATAAAAGTACCAAATCAGTAAGTCATCCAACTTGGGAAGGATAACTGCAAGTACAGCATATATCTTCCAAATACCACGATCAAAAAAATCATGAACCACATGAACAAAAAGAAAAAGAAAAAGAAAAGATTCCTGAGAAGCCAAAAATTTCTGGGAATTTAACGCTTCGATAAAAGCCAACCGATATGATAACATCCTAGTCATGCATTTACAAACTTATTATTAAAGCTCCTACGAATATTTAGAAAATAAATAAAATCAACAAAACTTTGTTTAAAATTTCATCTTTCAGGATTTCCGTCTTAATGCATACATTTTGTATTTTGACTACTATGAGATTTGCATCACATCTGCACCAACTGCTAACCATGAAATGCATCTCAACTATTACCCCTGTTCTTCCAAAAGTAGATTTAAATGGCCTTAACAGTTAGTGGAAGGATATAGTAAGAGTTGCAACGAGATGTTTAACAAAATAACAAGATTTGTTCTTAAAAAATAATAATCAATATAAGGGTCTTAGATCACAACCACTCTTTGAATGTTTGACTCAAAATATTTGTTAAAGTACAATATTTGCTATGAGGTAAAAAGTGTGAGAACTAGTGATCATTGAGAAATTTTGAATTAGTCTTAGATCACGACCACTCTTTGAATGTTTTACTCAAAATATTTGTTAAAGTACAATATTTGCTATGAGGTAAAAAGTGTGAGAACGAGTGATCATTGAGAGATTTTGAATTAGTACCTTAAGATATCCTATAAATTTTAAAACAAAATATACTGTCAATTTGAAGAGTCATTGATGTGCAATTTCCAATCCCCGCTCGTGATTTTAGCCCAATCATTGTCTATGATCTATTACAATTCATTTCCTTCATGCATTGTAGCTATACGTGAATTATGGCTCCCTTGCGGCCGTTAGTTATGAGATTTTTATGATCTCTTGCTTGAATGTGGTTTGCTGCTTTACAAGATATTTAAGGCTCTCTTGCATTTCGAGCACTATAGATAGCTGCTGTGACTTGCAAGTTTGTTGCTTCTTTTTTATCTATTATGGGATTTATATGATTTTCTACAACAGATGGAATGCCATCCTTATCTTTCGATCTTGTAAATTTAGGGGAATTGTAATTATAAATAAGAGGTATCTGAGACGTGTAAAACAATAATTCCTATGATATTTTAACTTTGAGTTATGAATTTTTTTCCCTTAGCTTTTTATTGGATGTGATTCTTATACATATGATGTAAGAGAATAATTCTGAAATTTCAAGGAAAACAATCTCCTTATATTGTATTAGGCCTAAATTTCTACTTTTAAATTTTTTTCATTACTATGTCCTTAATATCAAACTCTAGTTATTGATCCACTTAAGTGATTAAGTATATCAAAACTCTTATAAGCATGATCTTTTGATTGCAATATGAGTTCAAATTGAAGTATGATTCTTTTATAATATTGCATTTCTACGCAACATTTCTATTATATGATTATTACTAAAGTTTGCACGAATTTTGAGTATTTTGATGTTCATCTAAAGTAGCGAATGGTTTTCTAAATTAGAAATTTATGACGACAAATTTACCTTTGCGTGTATGATATTGAGCATCACATCCTAAATCTATATAAGCATATCCTAAGACATCCAACAACAAACACAATTGAAGGTTTTGACATGTAGATTTAGATTTATTAATGGTCCATGAACAAACTTATTAAAACATAAAAATGGAGAAGTTTGTGTTAAAAAAGAAAAGGAAATTCAACAGTAAAGTACATGGATGTTAATTTAATAAGATTGAGTTAACCATTGTGGTAATAGTGTAATACACCATTAGGGATTATACTCAGAACAATGATGGAAGTACAATCAAATCCAACCTGATAAAAAATAGGATATCAGTTATCATACTATAGAGAAGGGGGAGTTTTGAAAGCTTGGGCAATTTCCTACAACTTAGTTTCCCAACAAACAAATAGCAAAATTGCGCCATCCTTTTTCATTCTGTATGTAATGATTCTAAATAAACAAGCTAACTAATGCTTCAAACTCTACAAAAGAATAAATTTATACATCCGTGATGCATGAACATAACTATTGATTCACCATTTAATTTGTTCAACTACGTTCGAAATTTATTTGAAAAGCATATGGCCTTCAATCATGCAGATAAAACCACTGCTAGACAAAATAACCAATGGGTTCATGAGTAGACACAATCAACTTAACTTTGAGAAAGACAGCAATAACCATTTTGTTTCAAAGATACTCCCATTATTACAAAAAGGCAGAATATAAATTAATCAATTAAATAAATAAAGTGTCACCTGCTTTAGAAAGCTTTGCCACCTCAGCTTCAGCATTACTAACAAAAGCTTCCTTGTTACCAATAACATACTCGTGTAGTCGGTCTTTAAGTATCTCTGCAAGCTTGTCTTCTCTTTCCTTCTGAACAACCTGTTGCACAGCAATTGAAATTATTCAAGGATTTTTTTTTTCCAATATAAAACTTCCATTCATACATTGAAGCTTTTTTTAAGAAAAAAATTTCAATCACATCATCTGCAGACAGACAATCAAACAAACATGAACAAGTTCAAATTTAATATTCTTATATTCCTTCTCATGATCAAAGCAGCACATCCAAATCAAAAACTAGCAAGTATATGTTGCGGATCTGTTTTCATGGTTTATGATTTTGATAATAGCAAACACTCTTATTTCTCTACGACTGCCTTATCTACTGACATTTCAAGTCCACACGATCAGACTGCAATTTGGAACCAGCTCAACATTGGGTAGACTAGGTCTGAGTCAGTTTGTACCATTTTTCCTTTCTTGAGTCTATTGTCTTTAGTGTGGCTCCTGATGCTTTGTAACTTGGAAGATTTCTGACTGTTCCCTAGAGTTTACTGTTTTTGGTAACATCGTCCGGGATGATTTTATATCGTCCTAGACGATTAGTTCAAAAGCAAAAATCCTAATTAGGGCATCCTCAATAAAGCAGCCGTCATTATGCAAAAAATATCGTCCTGGACGATTTTGTATCGGCCAGGACAATAGGCTCAAAACAGAAAGAATCTGCCGCCAGATCTATTTAGGAATTACTTATTTTTAGACATCGTCCAGGTGGATCGTCCAGGACGATCCAGGACAATTTTTCCAAAATTTTTCTCGAATTTAAGGAAAGCAATTATGACTTGATTGCACGATCAAATCGTCCTGGACGATCGCAAAATCGTCCAAGCCGATACGCTGGACGATTGGACATCAAACAACAGTTTTTCAGGGCGATGTTCAGGACAATATTCCACTATTTGTTCTGATCGTCCATGACGATATATGAACAAACTTCTTCTGATCGTCTCAAATCGTCCCGACTGATTGGGCTTATTTTGCACTGATCGTACAGGACGATATTAGTATCGTCCTGGACGATAAAGTCGGCAACTTACATTAATGAGCTTGTTTTGAGATCTTCTATTTAAGCTATGAGATGACACTTGGTAAGTGCCTTTGACAGCCATTGTAGCTTCTTTCTTTGGGGGGAAACTTGAAGAGAGAGCTTGAAAGGGAGTGAGGAAATGGTGGAGTTTGAGAGAGGAAAAAGATCCTGTGAGGGGGGACTTAAGGGAGTATGGAGGGGGTTCCACACGGTTGCTCCGGCAAGCTCGCACCTGAATACCATCAGCTTGTCTCGAGGGAAGTTCACCAAAGAAGAAGATCTCTTTGGTGTCAAAGGACCCGGCGACTCCGCCGCACCGGGGAAGGTGGAAGTGATTTTGTAAGGGCTTCTCCGACTAGCTGTGGGGGCTAAAGGAGAGACACTTAGTTTAGTGCAATACTTGGAGGGTGCCTCCAAGGAGTGGACGTAGGTCAAGTTGACCGAACCACTATAAATATGGTGTTCTTTCTTTATTACTTCCGCATTTGGTTTTTATTGTGGTGATATTGGTTTTGGTTTGTGTTTTGATTTAAAGATTCTTCTTTTCCAATTCACCTCTCTCTTTATTAGCCTTGGGCCAGTTCATAAGGGGCCTAACATTCTAACAAACTTTCAGTATAGACCAAATAAAAAACCCTATATGACTGAAACTATCTCTACTATATAGACGCAATCACATATGCCATAGATCGGATCATCCTCAGTTCTTTAGTTTCTCAAGTTTTCACCAGAACCACCCCCACCCCTGGAGTAGCGAGATATGACTTCATACCTATAGTACCATCCTTCACTGCCTCCAAAGTTATACGCTCCATCACTCCTAACATCATAGCTGCCATCACTCCAATTGCATCTATAGAGGTTGTCATCACCATCACAATGGTAGCAGCCTCCACTGCCAAACCAATAATGAGCCTAATTGATGTTGACGCTCTTACCATTCTACATGGGTATCTAGTATGATATATCTACTAAAAAGTTCATATGGATCGATCCTATCTGATAGGTATAAATGAAGTGACAAGTAGAAATTTTTATTCAAGAAAGATTAGATAACTCATTCAAGTACAAATAGTCATAAGGCCAATGCTCATAATGATGAATAAAAAAATGAATCAACTATTTACATTACAACATAGGAAATATGGAGTGGAATGCTATAGAATAACAAAAAGAAAATGGTGAAGACCACTAAAAAGACTAGTAAAGAAAGAATCAAAATATTAAAAAGATGGATAGTATAATATGAAGTACCCAGTCAGTCCCAATCATTAGATGTTTGTGAATATGAACAAGTACTTCACATATATCATTATACAAGGGAAAAATGAAGTGACACAAAAATCTTGAAAAATACATGACATGCAAATATATCTTCAGGTAATTACTGGTCTAAACTATGCTTTTTAAAACTGTTAAAGGATAGTATCTTTTAGATCATCTGATGGGAACGGCCACTCAAAAACCTCATCCCAAAAGGCTTAAGAAAGAGAAGCACTAAACTCAAAGTCCAATTTCCTCTACAAAATGGAAAATGCAGCATAACATCAATTTTACAGGAAATAACCCAAGAAATCAATCCACTTAAAGCAATTTGACAGATCAAAGGAAACCACAGTTCAATAACAGTCTCAGGAATATTCTTTCTTAAAGTTGTTGTTGGGGGCCTCATTGCTAGCCATAGGTGCCATTAGTACCAACTTAGGTGTATTCCACTCACCTTCTCCCTCTCTCCCTCACTCACCTGCTTAAATACCTTCCCTCGCTCTTTCAATTTTTTTATTAAGCTCACCCGAATTAACCATCATTTAAACCACCCAACATAATATCCCTCATTATAACCACTATTAGGCACTCAATCACTCTATCCCTACTCTAACTCACAAATCCTTGCATAAGTCTTTTATTCTTAACAAAAATATCAACACTCTTGGAAAGGAACAACAAAGCGTCCAATAGAAACAGAATTCTTTCCGCTAGATGCTACAATCCCACTATATGCTATAATCCCCCTGGTTGCACTATAGTCCTGGACGTTTTTGAAAGCCTATCATCACAAGTTGCTTGGCAACAGTCCTAAACTCCCTTACAATAGCTAACCTGCTGCAATCCTAGAATTACTTTAGCCACTGATTTAATAAAGTTTCGGAACAACTTTGCAGCTGATTGTTGTAGCCGTTTCTATGTCACCTCTTTTTTCTTTTCATGCATGCATTCATATGAAAATTAAGAAACTTAAGAGTTGATTACTAATGTTCATTGTTTTCATAATTCAAACAGATTGTTTATGACTAGATCTAAAAAGGATTTTGTTAAGCCTCTATTTTTTTTGGATACTTTGTGGGTAATGTATAGACTTCTAACAACCAACAACAACAAGCCTAAAACCCACTATGTGGGGTCGGCTACAATATATACGACATCTAAGGCATGCAAAATTTATTGAATTGTGGGTATTGAAAACAATTCCAGGTTACTCAATTCTTGTTCCTGTGCTAGTTGGATTTGCAGAATTCCTTCCATTGTGTGCTACAATCCCAGACTCTTTCTAGAAAGTCCACAATCGCTAATTGCTTGCTTATAGTCCATATTTCAATTGCCATAAATTACGTAGTGTTTAACTCCCTTAAAGTGCTAATCTTTAGTCTTGGGAATATCTATCTTAAAGAAAGAAGATGATTGGGATCATAAACCACTTTATCATTAACATCAATGATTTTTTCTTTGCAGGCTTTGTCTTCCTTTTATGAATTTATTTATAGGAGACATAAGAAACCTTAAGTTGATTCCAAATGCTTATGTGTTCGGAGAATTGAAATTTGTAGTTATTTATTAGATCTAAAAGGATTATGTGGAGATTCTTATTTTGGGTTATTTGTTGGTTATAAATAAGATCCCCAAATCATTTAAAAATTATTAAATAGTAAGTATTGAAATTTTTTTTTCCAAATTCTTGTGTCATGTTAGTTGGATTTGTACTTTCAGCACTTCACATGCGTTGGCCTGGACCTTTATTTTAGATGATTTCTATCATTGTTCATGATTTTAATTTGTTTAGTCTTCAATAAAAATAACGATGAAGAATAGAAACAAGACCACTCAGAGTAAGAAATTTATTCAAATGTTAATAATAAAGAAGAGAAAAATCAGGACAAAAAATATAATCAATCTTTTATTCTTGAAATGGCAGATATTTATAATTTAAAAAGACGATAAAACTAAAATGACTCACCATAAAGCATCAGAAGTTTTTTTCTCCATACCTGATTTGTATTTCAAAATGAAATAATAAACTTAGAGAAATTCAACCCATTATATATATATATATATATATATATATGTGATTAAATTTTTTTGATGTGTTGATACAATTAATGGCATGATGGCCAAAATACATAATAAATTCATTATGTAATAAGTAGTGTGTCTAGTGTTCAATAGATTGAGTAACAATATAAAATTCTCTATCATAAGTAGAGTAATGCTAATTTTTCTCATTTAATTTTTTACTAAAATAAATAATGATATGATTATCATGATTACGCAGTCCACTTATGTCGATCCCAAAGGCATCATTAGAAACTTCAAAGGGCTTGGCAACAAGAAACCATAAGACAGGTGAAAAGGTCATGAGAATTTTAATATGGTACAAGGGAAAGGAGAGAGATTGCGAGTGGGAGATCAAAAGAGACAAAGAGGAAGATAGCAAAAAAGTGTAGGGAAGAATTCTTTGAGTGCAACGAAGCATACAAGAAGCAAAAGCTGAGGGCACTAGCAACCACGCGTGGACGAGCTAAGCAACGCATGGGTAGCACAATGTGAGGCTGATTCAGAAAGGAAAAATAAAAAATCTAGAGTTCTTTTCTTTTTTTCTTAGCTTATTCTTCCCTTTGGCTTGAATTAAGGTAAATCTAACAAAAATTCTCTCCTTTTTTCTTCAAGAAATTAGTTTATATATAAAGTAGATGATGAGTTTATATATATATATATATATATATATATTATAGAAAAG